CGACAGCAGTAACTTGCCTGTCCTGGTATCATGCTGATGAATCTACACTGTACTCTTTCCATCACTGCTGTTTTAGGGGGAAGACCAGAATTGGACACAGTGCTCCAGATGTGCTCAAACCAGGGCTCTATGCAAATTCAAAATCACCTCCTCGCTTTTATACTCAGAAACCATAGAAATTTATAGCACAGAAAAAGACCTTTTACCTCATTTTGTATGTGAAAAAGCAATGCACTTATTGTACAATTACCTGCCATTTGCCCATACCTCGGCAGATCTTTCCTCCTTAGACATCGATTTACTTCCTTATTGAAAGCTACTATTTATTCCGCTTCAATCACTGCTTGTGGCAACGCATTCCACATGTCTCGGTGTAAACAAATCCGCCAATCTCGCTTGCTAGTTACCATAAATCGATGCCCTCCAGTCATATGTCCATCGGTCCTGGTGCAGAAATACAAAGTAATGTCACAGCTCCGAGTCACAACATACCAGCTTTCTCTATTAATGTTATTGAGTTAAAAATAATAATAATTCTTGCATTTCACATAGCGCTTTGTCACATCTACATGACCAAATTATTACTGCTGTTTTTTTTTGAAGGGATTATTATCCCCGGGAAAGCGATCCGCCAATTGATTAACAATCTGGTTTCTACTTACCGTTTGGTAAACGGAGGGGTGTGGAGTAAGGAACTTGCCTGAGGTTTCAACCCGTCCGGGAATCAAACCCAGGTCCTCTTGCTTGCGAGGCGAGTGCTCTAACCACTACGCTACAGGATGCATGTGGTGCAGCCTGACAACATGATTTAACTGAATCTTATGTGGTATTCTTGTTTCATCTACAGGATCACGTAATGGGTGACAGGACAGTGCTCACCAGGGAGAATGAGGAGCCAACTGTTCCGGGCTCCCACACCATGTGTTGTGGGTCTGTCTCTCCCTCTTTGCACAATTACCTGTGCAGGGCTTTGTGACGGTATTAACGATACTTGGAGAGTGAGTGTGTCTTGAGAGACAGAGATGGAAAAAGGAGATGTAGGTTGTGCAGTGCGTGTGACAGGCCCAGACACGTACAGTGGCACTCTCTTAACAACTCATTTTATAGTGACCGCAGGGTTAAATATTCAGTCTTTTACAAAGAGAGAAACTGTATACATTAACATATAGTCTTTTTGTGCACCCAACTGTGTTGGTATCATAAAGGTTTTACATGCTTTTACATGGATGTAACAGCATGGAAACAGGCCATTCAGACCAAATAGTCAATCCGTTTTACAGTATCCAATCCGTGAAGCGCTTTGAGACGTCTCGATGACGTGATAAGGTGCTGTATTAAGCGCAATTATTATTATTGTTGTAGAAAGAGCCTTAAATTGTAACAGACAGCTCAGCCTTCAACTGATGGCAATGATCTGACTTCCAGATTGCAAGACTTAGATTGAGAACCCACCTCATGCTTTACATCATAATAATAGTAGTAATAATAATCCTTGCATTTGATATAGCGCCTTATCATGTCAGTGAGACGTCTCAAAGCGCTTCACAGGGTCTGTTGTAAAGTGTAGTGACTGTATATTTTGTGGGCAAAGCGCACATGATGCAAATATGAGGTTTTTATATATTTCAACAGACTGGGAGTTTCCTTGTCTGTTCAGCGCTTATGGTACACAGAGCCAGAGATAGGCGTGACACAGCAAGAGGTTATTCAGCCCATTTTTTTCATGTGGGTGTTTGCTGCTCAAATAAACTACTGTCCTCATCCCTCTAATACTTCCTCACCATTTGCTGATCCAATTCTTTTTAAAGGTTCCCAATTGATTCCACTCTAGCAGATATCCCTGATAAAGTGTTCCAACCCAACTCTCTGGGAGAAGAAATCTTCTTCAGAACCTCTCCATTTACTACCTCTTCACAATCTTAATATCTCAATCAAGGCCCATCTCAAGACTTACTTCTTTGACCACACAGTCATCTTTCTCCGACCCATCCCCCTCAGCTCCCACCCCAAGCTCAGATGCCAAACTAGAATTGGTAAGGGCCGTGTGATGTCCTCCGGACATGAAAGTCACTGTATAAATGTAAATTTATATCTACTCTATCCTGGCAGCACATGTAAATGTAAATGTGATAAGGCACTGTATCAAATGCAAGGATTATTTATAAACCCCAATATTCAACGCCCAGCAAGTTGGTTATACAGAGCACGTCAGCTCTGCTTCGCTCTCTCTTTGGCTAGGAAAGCAAGGCTGTAATGAGAGAAGGTTCACGTAAGGTGATCCAGTCTAATCTGTTACAAACAGACCATTAGCTGCAGCGAACAAACCTGACAGTGAAGCTCATTTACATACTACTGAACTGTAACATCTTTGATTGTGTTTTAATTGCTTGAAATAACCAGTTATTATGCTCAGTTCCGTTTATTGTGTCCTAACTGTATGATGGATGAAAAACAATTATCTCCATAATATTATTCGAGTGAAGTTCATTTCCATATTAACGAGGCTACACTTTGAAGACACAAAATTAATGTAATTGATGGCGGGAAAGTGGAATTTTTTCTAAATAAATCCTAATTCACGTAAATGTGTACATGGAATAGGAAGTACCTGTAATGAGATAGCTCCGGAACTCTATCCCATGTGAAAGGTGCTATATAAATGGAGGTTGTTACTATCCCCCTACTCACCTACCCGTACCCTCCGTTCCTCTGGCTCCGGTCTGCTCCACATCCCCCGCCCCAACCGCCCTACCATCGGTGGCCGGGCCTTCAGCCTCTCAGCCCCGAGGCTCTGGAACTCCATCCCCCAGTGCCTTCGCCGCTTCCTCCCTTTCCTCCTTCAAGGCCGGTCTCAAGACCTTTCTCTTTGACCTTCAGCCTTCAGCTCCCCTCTCGACTCTCTACCCCCTCCCTCCTTTCCCTCCCGTCACCCTGACCATTTCCCCCCCAGTGCTCGGGTCCTGATCCAACTGTCCAGCGCCTTAGGAAGTCCTCCCGATGTGAAAGGCGCTCTATAAATGCAATCTTGTTGTTGTTGTTGCTGTTGCTCCAAATTAAGTTAGATCCCCAATTAAGAGTTGCTTGTGGTTCCTTCCCCCTAAGTCTCCTGTAGCAGCAGCAGCGACAACAACAACAACAACAAATTGCACTTACGTAGCACCTGTCACTTCAAGGGAATTCCCAAGGTGTTGGACAGTTGAGGGTTTCTAGCTGGACTTGGGGATGTGAGGGCCAAGGTGGTGGGGGTGACCTGTGGTTGATATCATGAGCGGGAGATATTAAAGAGGAGAGGACTGAGGGAGAGATCAGGAAGAACAAGGCGGCAGAGAAAGCCCAGGTCACAGATAGCGACTCATTCCTTGGAGTACCTTGGAGAGGAAAGGGAGGTTGGAGATAAGATAATAGTTAGAGAACAGTTATGGGTCAAGGGAAGGTTGTTTGAGGAGTGGGGTGGGGGTGATGACAGCTATTTTGAAGGAGGTGGAAACTGTGTTGGTAGTCGGAGAGGTTGATGATGTCTATTAACAGGAGGGGGCAAAGAGGTGCAGCTTGGGATTCAGGAAAAGGAGAGGGATGAGGTTGAGGAAATACTGCAGTCAACAACAGCTTGCTTTATGTAGTGCCATTCATGCGGGATAGTGTCCCAGAGCACTTATATCTGAGGCTCCTCTCACTCTTAACATTCAGGTTTGACTCTGCACCTGACCTCATCGTTGCTCGAACACACACACAAAAAAAAACATGTTTAATCTCTCTTGGAAATCCGCATTGTGCTCTGTGTACAAAAGAATTGAGGCAAAGAGAGAAAGGACAGGGCAGGGCATTGGAATCCACTAAGATCTAATGACTCCCAGAACAGACTCGATGAGCTCTTGTTTTGCTACGTTCCTATGTTAAAGGGAATATCTAGTTTCGCCCACAAAATATACTGTCAATTCACTTTACAGCATATTCTGTGAAGCGCTTTGAGACGTCTCGAAGAGGGGATAAGTCGCTATATATCAAATGCAAGGATTATTATTATTATTATCACAAAAAACAAGTTTATTGTCTCACAGACAAGCGCTTTGTGCCTGTGGCTGTCTTACAACATTTGATCAAACAAACTAGAACAAATGTTTGTTTTTCTGAAAACCCAGGCAACGGACTGAACGCTCATGAGCGCTGCGCTGTCTGGTAAAGCCTCTCAGATCCATCCCAGCACTATTGCTATCGGTCTGCCTCAGTCTCACCTCTGGATAATAATAATCCTTGCATTAGATCTGCACAAACCGACTGTTTGTGGGACACTGCTGTGCGCAATCAGCTGCCACGTTTCGCCCACGCAAAATACAGTCAATTTACTTTACAGCGTATACTGTGAAGCGCTTTGAGACGTCGCAACGATGTGATAAGGCGCTGTATCAAATGCAAGGCTTATCATCGTATATTATTATTATTATCGCAGGGTCTGCTTCACCGGATTTACTGTAGAGGATAGTGACTGTATTTGTAAGCGTACGTTTGCTCTCACGAAGCACTTTTGAGATATTATCCAACGCGAAAGGTGCTGCAGAGATGCAGTTTGTTGGTGTTGTGATATGTTGTGCGTCTGGTGGGATCAGTCTCTCGGCTACAGGCAGATGGTAGAGCCTACAAGCTCACTGTTTACTCGTGACCTGCATTGTGTCTCCCTGACGTGAATCCCTGAGGGAGCCTTGGGTAGGTTCTGTTGTATCGCCTTTTAGATTATTGAGTATCAAGCATGTGTTGTCCACAAAACCCTGGGAGGGAGGAAGAAGCACAGCCTCGGTGAAAGGACACAGAGTGGGCTTAGATTGTGGGATTGCTTAATGTGAAACCAGAATTATCCTCCTCATTGAAGAGGAATTGTGTAACTCAAACCCACCTGGAACAGCGAACGTCGAAGGTAAATCATCTGATCGTACCTCATTTGCTGGGAGCAGCTTCACCAGGTGAGGCTGAGAGAGAGAGAGAGAGATAGGATTAAAAGCATTCTTTCCCCGCCCTGAATCCTTACAGGTAGATACAGGTGAGTATTGAGCTGAACACAGAGGAGAAGACACCTTCCAGACAGAGGTAAGTCTCACCCGCTGCTCAGTGTCTAACGTGAGACAAAGGGTTTTACTCTTAATGTTCATACAAATTTAAATTGTTCATGAATTTAACAAGTTGCAGTGGAGCAGATAGAATAATAATAATAATAATCTTTGAATTTGATACAGCGCCTAGTGGAGTCCTGCAAGTGAGAGACCTGAGTTCAATTCCAGGCAGAGGGCGAAACCTCGGGCAAGTTTCCTTACTCCACACAGAGCCTAATAATAATCCCTCCAAAAACAATAATAAAATTGGTCATTTTCAATCCACGACTGTTTGTGCGCAATTGGCTGCCGCGTTCGCCCACAAATATACAGTCAATTCACTTTACAGTGTGTTCTGTGAAGCGCTTTGGGACGTCCTCCCGACGTGAAAAGCGCTATATCAAATGCAAGGATTATTATTATTATTACGTTAAACTGAGGTCTTATCTCTTTGTTCTCTGGGCTGCTACCTTGCATGAGGGGTGCTATATAAATGCAAATTGTTGTTGTTTGTTTGTTTGTTCAGGTGGATGTTAAAGACACCTTGAACACCGGTTTCCGCATCAATAATCCTTCATTGATCCAAAGCCAAGTCAGGCCCTTAATGTTCAAAGCACGAGTTTTGAGTCAAGACAGCTGTGTGTGAAACCAGATACTTCGGGGAGAATTCCTACCCAGTTGCAGATTTACTTGGTTTACGCAACACTTCAGTGTGTCTGAAATTTGACAAATTCTGAAATATTTTCTTAATTTTGAAGCCAGTTTTCTGTTCGCTCTTTTGAGAAAAAGAGCAACGGAGTTAACATTGAAATTCAACAAACTGCCAACTTCTGGACAACGTTACACAAACAGAATAACTTTGTAGTTTAAAATGAATAAACTGTCTTGCCCCCTGACTGAATTTGGGATCTAAATTTGGAATACAGAGCTAAAATCAATTTATTTTCCTCTGTGCTCCTTGGAAAGAGAAGGGAGTTGTCTCTCTCTCTCTCTCTCTCCCAGAATCCTGGCCAACCATTCCCTCAGATAAAGTCAGTCGCTCCATCCACGGCTGTTTGTGGGTCATTGCTGTGACTCACGACAAACACACTCCTAACAGGTTGAGATCAGGTGGAATTTTGGTCTCAAAAAGGGGGTTTTTTTTCACCTCGGGCAGAGACCAATTGTGCCAATGGTCTTGCCTGTTACAAAACATAAATGGTTGTAAGTATAATCATTTACATTACTCATATAAAAACAATTCTTCCCAAACTTCCACCCTATTCCTCGAATGAATTGTGACACAATTTTTTTTTATCTCTAATAATGTCGGGATTATTCATTTTGCAATTTGGGTATTACAAAGTGAGATTATCAGATCATAACTTCTCTGCTGACTCAATCCCTTACATCTAACACCCAAAGGCAAAGGGTTAGATATTGACGGCAGCCGATCATTTTTAAGCACCTATATCATCAAAATGTCTCAGTGTTTCAGGGGAAATGCTGCATTTTATATTTGTAGTAAAACGGTCGCCAGTTTGCTCACAGTAAAGTGCCACAAATATCTTGTGAAGCAAAGGATCAATTTGTTGACTATTTTTTAGTGATGTTGCTAGTTCTACACGGCTCTCCTCCTCCCTCCAATCATTGTGTTGAAATTTGCTTATTTCTCCATAGATTTAATGTGAGTCACTCGCCCAGTATTTGGTGTTTCGGTAAAATACTTACTCAACTTCATTGTTTAAATTTCGTCAGTCTTCTAAATATTCCTGACATGTAAGAGCCAATCTCCCGTCCATTTGAATTGATGACTATTGGAAGACAAATTCATAGCTTATATCATTCATATCATACATTTCACTCACAAGATATTCCACTTACGATATTCTCTGTGAAGTGCTTTCAGGCGTCTCAATGACGTGATAAGGCGTTATATCAAATGCAATGTTAGAGATTTATAAAAAACAATTCTTTGTACATCATATCCTGCATTTTTACTAATACTACTTTGGTAGAGCTTTTGTTTTGGTCAGCCGGGTGTCTGACACGTGCGGAAACCCTTTGACCCGGGCTTAAGAGACTCCAAACCAAACTGACAATTCCACACATCCCATCAACACATGGAAATCCCAGAGATAGATTGTTGGAATGGAATGCGCTCTCTCGAAGGGTTGCATCCTCCGGGAAATATTATAATAATAATATTAATAAATAATAATCCTTGCGTTTGATGTAGCGCTTTTCACGTCCTCTGGACGTCTCAAAGCGCTTCACAGAATATACTGTAAGGTGAATTGACCGTATATTTGTGGGCGCAGGTTGGCAAGAGCCAAGGCTGGCGGGGGGGGGGAGCCCAGAGTGTGCCTTGGGTCTAACCAGCATTGGTAGTGATTTGACAGCGAGTACTGACAATGTTGGCCTTTCAGTTCAGATCCACATCATCCCATTGGAAAGTTATGAAATACGTACAGGGATAAAAAATATAACGGCATCTCATAGCATGTTTGATGTCGTCGCGAAGAGACAGAAACATTTCAAGTGCTGACACCTCTATGCCTTTCCTTCAGGGTTAACAGTTGCTGAGTGGGCGGATCTCCCCCCCCTCCTCAAAATGTCTTCTGCGCAAAAAATACTTTTCTTTCAAAAAATTATTTCGTTGTGGCTTTAGATTCGTGCCTTGGGTGTGCGTGACAGAGATGTCCTTTTGCGAGCCGTGAGGCACTGTTGGAAGCTGCTTCATTCATAGACTTAGTTAGTGGCTGTGTTAACTGGCATTCCATTGCTCAAAAACACTATTTCTCAGTAATTGGTGCGTCAGAGCTGAAACATGTCAATAATTACTGACTGAAATTCTGCTGCTACTTTATCAAACTTAACAACAGGTTTTTACTTTGTTTGACTATCTTTATTTATTCGCCAGAGGAGTAATCTATCAGATCCGCGTGTATCTGTCTGCACGAAGTTGTGTGTATGCGTGTGTGTGATTTTTGCATATCTTTGTATATGATTGTCTGTATCTATTATCATCTCTGTGTGTGTGTGTGTCTCTGTGAGCATCTGTGTGTGATTTTGTCTTTCTGTGGGTTTGTATCTGTGTGGGTGAATCTGACTGTGAATTTGCGTAAGGTGAATTTGCGTAAATTATGACGTAAGAAGAAAAGCGTTTAAAAATACAAGTTACTCAATATGTGTTTATCTTAAACCCCGGTCAGCGAAGGTAGGCGAGAAGTGATAATAATAATAATAATCCTTGCATTTGATATAATGCTTTTCACGTCTTCTAGACGTCTCTAAGCGCTTCACAGAATATACTGTAAAGCGAATTGACTGTATATTCGTGGGCCAAACGCAGCAGCCAATTGCGCACAGCAGTGTCCCACAAACAGTCGTGGACTGAGTGACTAAATTATTATTGGCTTTTTTGAAGGATTATTATCCCTGGAAAAGCGATCTGTGCCAATCGACTAACAACCGGGTTCCTACTTACTGCTGGGTAAACAGAGGCGTGGGGAGTAAGGAAACTTGGCCAACATTTCACCCGGCCGGCCGGGAATAGAACCCCGGTCTCTGGCTTGTGAGGCGAGTGCTGTAACCACTGGAGCTACAGGACTTTACAATGATGACTGTTAAGGGAATAAACATTGTGTGAGACTTGACAGAGAGGGTTTGAGTTTTACGCAGGCCATCTCACTAAAGCTGACACAAACCGAGTCACCCAGCGACCAGTTTGGTCGGTTCCCTAAATCGGAAATCTGCCAGATCGCAAGAATGCATTGCAGGACTGAACACATTCAGACACATCGCTCACTCTTGTTTACCTACAGAGCCTTTCCATTAGCTCATTTTCCCATTCAGAGTTCATACTTTTTTGTCCCCGGTCCACCTGTTTTTTTGTTTTAACCATTAAAGCTGAAGTCAGCTCTTATATCATTTAACAGGAAAAGGTTATTTCATATTATCAACCAGTAGCCAATAACAGACCGCACTGTAAAAGACATAATACTTTTCATGTCCTCAATTCATCTCTGATTAATTTAGAATCAATTCATCCTAAAGTTGATATTGCCGTCCGATTTAACAGCTCTGTTTACTTTTAAGGATCACTTTTAATTGCTTTGCACAATTGCGCACATGATCCCAGGCGCTGGATGTAACCTTGAATGTCTTTCATTTGTTGAAGGTTTGAATCCTGTTTATCGAGCAGCAGTAAAGAGTGGATATCCGGCTAACATGGGGTTGACATCTCACCCTGTTCTCCTCTGCCTCTTCTGCGTGAGCCTGGTCAGCCTGGCAACAGGTAAGCCTTGTCACAGATGCCAAAACAGGAGGCAGAGGGTTGCTTTCCTTGACCTCCAACACATCAGCCTCCTGCGCCATTCCCTTACACCTACCACCGAAAACCTGCTGACTCTCTCATTCTGGTGCACACTTCAGTAAAGGTTGATGTCCTGATGTTCCAAGGCGGTGCAGATAAGCGAAATTTTAGATGTTGGAATTGGGAAGGGCGCTGTTACACCACTGGTCACGTGCCCCAGGATGCTACCCTGGCGTGAGGGCTGCTACATCAATGCAAGTTGTCGTTGTCGCTATTGGTCACCTCCCTGCCCTTCCTCCTAACCCGGCAACAAATCCGTCAACGTGAAGCACTCCATTGAAGAGCACTGTATCAATTAAAGTGTTGTTGTTATGTCTGGGTTTCTCAGAGTTGATGAACTGTCTCATGAACGGTCCTTAGAGACACAGACCTAATTAAACAAGGAGCAAGGCAGACGCCTCGTCATCCAGAGCAATCCAGACCTGTGTAAGAGGCATTGGGGGTGCGTTTTGGAAGCATAGTGAGACTCCAGGGTCATGGAGTGGGTGTCGGACTGAGTAAAACGACATATTTTGTGTTATTGAATGTGATCTTAAAACAACTTGCCTTTATACAGCATCCTTCATGCAAAATAGGGTCTCGAAGTGATGAACAATGGGGTGTTTGAAGCCTATCCAGAGAGTTGGATCTTAATAAATGGTGGACTTGGGAGACTGGTGAGGAAGGCATTCGAGAAGTCCAGGTGGGAGGTAACACAAGAGTAGATGAGGATTTGAGCAGTGTTGGGTTTGAGGTATGGTGCTTGAAGGAGTCGCTGCAAACATTTGTACCATTACTGACTGAATTTAGCCCAAAATCCTGGCTGAATTCCAAAGGTCTCTTTTCCAACAATAAAGCAAAGTGAAAACCTTAATTTGTCCCAATTGACTGATTAGTCACAGACCTGACTTACACCTTACTCTGGGTTTCCCATCACTGCTGTAATAGATTTATGAGGACAATAGCAGAAGTGAGTGCTCGGAGGAGAGGTTGTAGAGGTTGGGACTCTTAACATTGGAGCAGGGAAGGCTGAGGAGTGAAAATGAGAAGTCTTTTAAGAAGAGAAATGATGAGGAACTATTTCAAGACAAGAGGGTGTGAATTTAAGATTCTAACTCAGAGCGTGAAAGGATATGTTATGAGAAGCAATATCCTGACTCCATGGATAATCTTTTGATGAATAACATCTACAGAATCCAGAAATTAACATTCGTGTTTTTTTTTCTGACAGGTAAACACAATAATGAAGACCACAATGAGGTAATCAATTTTAATGAACTATTCGGAGGTCAAACATCCAATAGTCCTGAAAGGCATTCAAGGGGAGAGACTTTGGGGCTCAATTATTTACTGCCCCTTTGCAATACCTATTCTCTCTAGGATCTAGGGCTTGGGAGCTCTTTCCATCCCGCAGTCTTTCCTTCCTCCCATATGCTGTTGTACACAACCTTAATAAATAATAATAATCCTTACATTTTATGTAGGACCTTATCACATCATTGAGATATCTCAAAACGCTTCACAGCATATACTCTAAAGTGGATTGACTGTGTTTTTTGTAGGCGAGTGAGTCAATTACGCACAGCAATATTATTATTATTATTATTATCAGGGACACTGTTGGCCAGGATACTGGGAGAAAATCCTTTCCTTTTCAGTGAATATGGGAGCAGTGTTAATTCTTACAGTAACATGGGGTAAAGGGCTTTCTGCTTTAGCTCTCATTAAAAGATTCCTATAGACAGACATAAATGATCGCTAGATGTATTCCCGTTGTTTGAATTGCAGATGTCAGGCAAGTGCCATGGATGGGAAGTGGATCTGAGACTCAACCTGAGTGATTCAGGAAACATCAGTGAATGCCTTCGAGATCTGGGGGACAAACTCAATCTCCTGAGTCCAGGCTGTGTCAAATCCTTCAGCCTGAATATCACTCTTTCGAATCTGAAGTACCTGTAAGTGGCAGATGTGCTCCGTTTTAATTTGTTATTCAACAGGAGGTTTGTTTTGTTTTCCTTTCTTTACACCTCAGTATAACGGAGAGGATTGGTTTGTGGTAACATAATACAATACAAAATTACATTTATATGGCTGCTTTCACGTCGGATGTCCCGAGGCGCTGAAATTCTCTCAAATCTTTCCATGACCTTGTACGCTGCAATCTTTTCCGTTTTGCCCACAAAATATGCAGTCAATTCACTGTACAGTATATTCTGTGAGGCGCTTTGAGACGTCTCAAAAGGATGTGATAAGGCGCTATATCAAATGCAAGTATTATTATTATTACAGTCTTGCTCTAGTATGTTGAGTGTTTAGAAAAGCTCTGGTTGGAGAAAGCTCTCTCTGAGAGTTTCCATCTCTTTCAGGATGAAGGCTTTGGTTGAAAGATATGATGACCTAATCCCTGGTACCAGGAAACAAGTTTACAACTGGGTGAAGTCTATCTACCAGGAAGAAAATGGTCCCTCTAGACCTGTTGAGCATGGGAAACCAGAGGAAACTGACAAATCCAAAAAGAACAAGGACAAAGGTGAGATAACTAAAATAGGAATTCAAATGACTTATGCATCTGGTACAAATATTTATCAACGATTCGCCAACAAAGTATACAGTTAATTCACTTTACAGTGTATTCTGTGAAGCATTTCAAGACATCTCGAAGATGTGATAAGTTGCTAAATCAAATGCAAGGATTATTATTATTATTATCTCCAACATTGGTGGATATTACATTGCTTACCAAAAGTTGTGGTCCTTACAACCATAGAAATTTACAGCACAGAAGAAGTCCATTCGGCCTATCGTGTCTGTGCTGGCTCTTTTAAAGAGCAATCCTTTCAGTCCCGTTGACCTGTAGTAATAATAATAATCCTTGCATTTGATATCATGCCTTATCAAGTCTTCAAGATGTCTCAGTTTCCCACCAATGATACTCAGGCTTTAATTTCCAATCAAGTGACTGCCTTGTCTGGGTTTTCTTCTCTTCAGGTCAAGGTGGAAAAGATAAAGGCAACTGGATCACTTTGGAAGTTCTTCTGCTACTCGATCGCTTCATTATCCAAGCTCCGAGCTCCACCTTGAAGGGCCTGGGAGGAGATCATAACAGCACGGTAAGAGTCTAACACGGAACAGATTTCAGCAGGATGTCCCTTCTCAGGGAGATGAAAATTTAAGACTGAAATCTCTCCCTTGCCATTTCGGGAGCTTCTTTATTTTAAGATGTTTGTTTTTTTGAACCCAATTCAAAACATCATCAATAACACCACCAAAATAGGGCTCACATGGCCTTTGCACTTTATAGTATATCCTATGAAGCACTTTGGGACGTCCTCCCAAATGCAAGGACTATTTTTATTATTATTATTACTATTATTTTGTTTTTCCCCTACAGATTTGTCAGTTTTTCAACAGCTCCTCTGACCTGTTGGACAGGCTGCATCACCTCACACCAGTGCAAGCCCAAATACTGCTGAAAGGACTTAATCAATGCACCAATGTGGACATCAAGGATCCTAAATTTTTCGATAGGTATGCATATCACTCAGCCTGATTACAGCAACAACTTGAACTTATACTTCCTTGAAGTATTCCTTAACTTATTGAATGAATGGGTGGTTGAGGCCAGCACAGTGGATTCCTTTTAAAAGCAGCTTGATTTTGTGATGGGAGGGCGGTAGGATGGATGTTCTGGAGTGGTGAGATCAGAGAGGCCGAAGGGCCTTTTTTATTTTATTTTAGCCTCTCTTGTGATCTTGTCATGAAGTGTGGCATCGAATGTAATTCAGATCATTCTTTTATCTGCAGGCTCGGTCAGTTGGTGTGTTTTTATCCTAAAAAAGACTTGAAATCTCCTAACGATAACTTCATGTTCGCTTTAGTGAAATCGCTGGAGAACTGCAGCAATAATGTGCAGGGGGTGAGTGCATGATATATCAATCCTACACAGTTTGGGTCCTTAGGCCATCATTGGAAGGCAGTGAATTCTCTGGAGTTGTCATTCTCATTTTTTGTTCTTCGTTTGGATTTCATAGAATTCTACAGCGTAGAAGGAGGCCATTTAGCCCATCCTATCTACACCGGCTCTCTGAAAAACCTATCCAATTAGTCCTGCTCTTTCCCCATAGCCCTGCAATTTTTTTTTTCCCCTTTCAGCTATATATCCAATTCCCTCCTGAAAGTTATTATTGAATTTGTTTCCACCGCCCTTTCGTTGCTCTGAGGAAATCGGTTGCCACTTCCCCCCTACAAACTGCACAGTGAATCTCGTGAAGGGCTTTGAGGCATTCCAGTGATGTGATAGGGTGCTTTATTGAGAGGATTGATTAGTACTCACTGACTTAGTCCCAATTCTTTGTTGAGTTACTACCGCAGACTGTTTCCACAGATCTTACAGAGACTGGTGAAGGACACAAATGTTGAGACGCTGACCCCGGAGAAAATAGACAAACTGGGAGAAGCCTTGACCGAATTAACAGTCAGCCAAGTGTCCAGTATGAGCAATGATACTGTGAATCAAACCGTTCTTTCTCTGGGTAAAATCAAAAAGTGGTCTCGTGGTCAACGCAAAATTCTGATCAGAAAGATCAAGTCACTTCACGATGTGAGTGTAAATCACTGGAATGTTGTTTGTATGACTTTGTAATTTTGTCCAAGGGAATCGTAACATTCGCTTTAGAATAGTGTCAAACTTTACGACAGACTTCACAAGATCTCAATAGGAGTCCTGTAGGGTATTGGTTAGAACATTGGTCTCGGAAGCCAGAGGACCTCGGTTTGATTTCTTGACAGAGCAAAGCAGAGCAAGTTTCCTTACTTCACACGCCTCTGTTACCTAGCAGTACGTAGGAAGCCGATTGTGAGTAGGTTGGTGGACCGCTTTCTGGGAGTAATAAACCCTTCAAAAAAATAGTTAATAATAATAAGTTGGTCACTCAGTCCACGACTGTTTGTGGGACACTGCTGTGCGCAATTGGCTGCCACTTTTCGCCAACATAATAATAATAATAATAATGCTTGCATTTGATAAAGCGCTTTTCACGTCTTTTAAACGTCTCAAAGCGCTTGACAAAATAAAGTGAATTGACTGTATATTTGTGGGCGAAACGCGACAGCCAATTGCGCACAGCAGCGTCCCACAAACAGTCGTGGGTTGAAGTGACTAATTTATCATTGCTTTTTTTCTTGAGGGATTATTCTCAGGCGCGTGGAGTAAGGAAACTTGCATAAGGTTTCGCCCTGCCAGGAATCGAACCCAAGTCTCTCGCTTGCGACTGAACTACAGGACTCCTAATACACAGTCAATTCACTATACAGTAGATCCTGTGAAGAGATTTAAAACATCTCAATGTCACGATGAGGCGATATATCAAATGCAAGGATTATTATTAGTAGTAGTAATCTTACGAAGAGGTGTATTAAAATAAGTGTACGTTAAGTCCAGTGTCTTGTCCTCTCTTCCATCGGTTATTTTTTCCCTTTGTTTTAAGGTCACTTCAGAAGTTGTAACTTCTTTGAGCTGCTCTGTGTACCAACCTGCACACTAACATCTCTGCTTTGTGTTTCTTCCTACGCGCTAACAGACGTTCACAGCCAAGGATTTGAAGCAACTGAACTCCTTGATGGCCGGCCTCAACACAATGGATTTTGAGAAAATGAACGGGAGCGAACTACTGGATACCATGGAAGATAAAGCTGTGGCTGAGTCATCCAAGGAGCTGGAATCATTGCAGAAGCGGTCGATCGTGAACTCTGTAAGTCATTGCATTATCATAGGATCATAGAAACTTACAGCACAGAAGGAGGGCATTTGGCCCAATGTGCCTTTACCGGCTCTTTGAAAAAGCTACCGACCAGTCCCACTCCCCCCCCGTTCTTACTCCATAAACCTGCAAAAAAAAAATCCTTTTCATATCCAATTCCCTTTGGAAAACTGCTATCAAATCTACTTCCGCCACCCTTTCTTTCAGGCAGTGCATTTCCAGATCGACTGAACTCTCAGATGCAAACAGAATTTATTTTAATCACACAGATCTTGAGGTCCGTAAAAGTCAGCTCGGCTCTGCAGAAACTTCCCGAGTCTCTCATTTCTGAGGTGCCACTCAACGAACTGCAAAACGCTGGTGACGATGTCGTCACGTTGGACTTCCTGAGTCAGAGCAAACCGTGGAAAACTGGCCAGGTCAGCGATGGGCGTCGATTGGGGAGGGGGCCAGCACTGCGGAGGAGGGGCAGTACTGCAGGGGACGGGCATTACTGCCAGAGCGGGGCTGAGTGTCAGACTGCGTTACACTGTGTATCAGGCTGTTCTGATTGAGTAATTGAAATATTTCCTAACTTTGTACTGATGCATTTTCTGTGTTTCTCCAGGCCATCGCACTGATTAGTCATATTAAGGACAAACTCAATAACATGGAGAACATTGGGTGAGACAAAGTTATCTTGTATTTTACGGTTGAAAACCTTCCTTCAAGTGATGTGTCATTTGTCCCTTGGGAGCCACAGATAGACAAGGCTGACCCTATTGGGCTTTGGCTTGCCGGGTTAACAGGAGTTGACTGGGAGGATTCCCTACTTCCACTGACCGGTCTGTCCTTCCAGGTCCTGCCGATGTGCTGTCATTAGTGGAATACTATGGACCCTCCCTCCCTGGGAGGACGGTCAGTCGGTGAAGCTTGTGCTTGCTACTTCGCTCTGAAGTCGGGCTTTTTCTCGCCTCTGTTAAACGTCTCTTTGTTCATCATTACAGTAAACTGAAGGATGCAGTGAAAGGAATTGGGTGCAAGCTGATCAGCTCGCTGAAGGCTGAGGTGGTGAGGAGTCTGGCAAGGAATCCACGAGCAATGGCTGAGCAGGTACAGAGTGAGGAGAGCGCACAGTGAGTGTACAGGGTGTGAGTGAGTGCGTGTGAGAGAGAGTGAAAGTGCGGATGCAGTTAGTGTGAAAGGGCAGACGGGGCAGTTGGTCCCACACATTCTAAGGTTTGTTGTAATGGCCTCTGCCTCTCACAGATCCGATGCTCTGCTGCCAGGTTCTTCAAGGTTCAGAAGTCGGCAAATCCAGATTATTTCAGCAGTTTGACTGCGGACAAAATCGAACAGTTGCCTGCCCCCTACCTGCTCTTTGAGCCGTAAGTGTGTCCTGAAATTTGTTTTGAGATGTTCTCTGGACGGAAAAAGACACTCTCTCTCAAATACATGTGGCCAAAATGTCTTATTTTTCAGCTATCCTTTTATCTATTTAAAAAAAACTATCATAATATCTTTAGGACTTATTAGACATTGTAACGGTGTCACAACATTTTGCTCACCCTGTATAAGGCTTATTATGTATTATCTGGCTGTGAGCAGGTGTGCAAGTGCTCCAGGTCGTGAAGGGCACTATGTAAATGCAAGTTGTTGTCGCGTGTGACCGACTGTTTCCGAACATGTATATTTTTCAGGTCTATAGATGACTTGAACCTTATCCCACAAGCTTTATGCTCGAATGTGTTGGAGCTGCTGAGCCAGACTAACATCACAGTGCTTCCCCGTGTCGCAGCGAGGCGCACAGCTCTCCTCGGTTATGCCAAGGATTGCTTGGTACGTTTTCCAGATCTTATTGTTTTGGGGTCAGCCGGGCGCTGAGATACACGGGAATCGCCCATCAAATACACGGACGCGATGGGGCCAAACGGCCTCCTTCTGTGCTGTGCAATTCTATGATTCTACTGATCGGGTCTTTGCATTGAACAGAAAATGACAGCCTCCTCACTGACGGAGGATCAGGGCAACAGCCTAGGACCCCTGGTCTGTGCGTTCTCCGCGGATGAGGTCAAGAACATTAATGACGCAGTCTTCCCAGAGATCATGGACCAGCTCCGCCAATGTGGCCGGTTTGAGGGGAAGAAGAAAGAGGCACTTAGAAACAAGATCATCTCAATCTATTCGTAAGCATGGCACAAGTGTGAGAAATAATTAACACCAATAGTCGTGTGTTGTCAGTCTTTGCTGTGTACAAAATGGGTATCGCGTTACCCTGCAACTAGTAAGTCATTCTACTTGAGAGCCATTCTATGTCAGGCCCTTAGCGCTACCTCAACATTCTAAGAATTAGAATAATTATCAAATTATTGACACGATGCTAATTGCTGTGCGCAAATTGGCTGCCGCGATTCGGTCCAAAAATAAACTTGACAGTATATTCTGTGAAGTGCTTTGAGACCTCTCGAAGGCTGATAAAATCCTATTATCAAATGCAAACATTATTATTATTATTATTATAAACGCAATGTAAAATACAAGGATTATCACGAGCAAGGTGTCAAATCATTTTTTTTTTTCAGATCTCCCGCGGATTGGACGGTTGATACCCTGAGCCAGCTGGGCAGTCTGCTCGAGGTGCTAAACAAGGATGACATCAAATTGATCCCCAACAATGTGAGTACACAAAAACCAGGGCAGCTAAACTGTGTGTTAGTCTTGCTCCGGGATAGCACTCCCACTTCTGAGTCAGAAGGCTTGTGGGTTCAAGCCCCACGTCAGAGCTTGGAATCAGACATAGTTTGGGGGTGAAACGCAGTAGCCAGTTTGCGCTCAACAGTGTCTCACAAATAGCCACGGAGCGAGTGACCGATCTTATTTGAGGGATTGTCAGCCAAGACACTCGGAGAAAGAAGCTGCCTTCTCTCTTCGAATAGCACCATGGGATGTTTAACGTCTATCTAAACAGGCAACGTAGAGACCTCGGTTTAACATCTCATCCGAAGGATTATTGTTAGTTATTCCAAAAGATTAAATTCAAATAGTACAGCGCTGCATTTAGGACCTATTAATACATTATAAATCTTCAGAAGCATCTAACACAGGGTCTTTTTTCTCCTCTAGGAGTATACCACAGCTGTATTTCAGCAGCTCCTTGACTCTCACACCCCACCTCAGGGATTTATAATTTCCGACTTTAACAATACCGCTGACTTCTCTCTACTTTACGAGAAGTTCTTCATTCTTCAGAAGGATTCCCAGGATAGCAAGAGGAGGCGCAGGGAGACAGGTAGGTGACCATGAGGTTACAAAGGCAATAAGAGTGACTGGCACCTTGAGCTCAGTGACACGCGAGTCCAATAATAAGCCGTATTTACCCACCGCATCTTGTTGTGAGCAAACTGCCGAGGAGAAACAAATAGCCTTTTATCGGACTTTCCCAACTCATGATTTGAATATTGACATTTGTGAATCTTGCGATCCAGAAGTGATGATTAACACAAGTCCAGTTTGTGAATATTGTTTTTGTTATTCGACACTATTCCGTGAAGGTGAAGGTGGGTAATCACATTCACTACCGGAGAGAGGGGGTGGGTGGGGTGGGGTGGCAATGTACTACAAAATCACATTTTAAAAAGACGCCCAGACATTTATCTTTCTTGCGCACAAAGGGACGATGGGTAAAATCTCTCATACATGTTTTATTTCAGAATGTGCTTATCGCCCGACCGTAGAGCAGATACTGAACCTTGGCCAGTCAAACAGCTTCTGGACTGCTGAGCAGCTGGCTTGTATGAAACCTCAGACCTTCATAGACTCAGTAGAAATGCTGACGGACATTCCAACCCTCAGCGATGAGCAGCTGAAAGCTTTAAAATCCATAGCTGTGAAGGTGAGGGGCTGAACGCACTCAGCAACCACTTGCACCCACGGTAGCATCATAGATCTCAGCTGCAGGTTGGGCTCAGGTACATGGGGAATCTCTACCCGAAGACTCGGAGGCTGTTTCCAAGACTTTATATTTTAAATACACGGTCAATTCACTTTGCAGTATATTCCTCTGAAGCGCTTTGAGACGTCTCAAGAAATGACTTGCGCAATGCTCTAATGCCTACAATTTCCACACGCAACGTAAAAAGATAGTTTCGCAATAGGGTGGGAACATGCCCATCCTGCCAACCCCACCTCGCCCTCACCTGCCTTGTCCTTCTCTCCTCAGGCTTACGGCTCAAGCCTCACAAACGACCAGCTTGCCTCCCTGAAGAAGATCACACTGTTCTTCACTGAAGATGAAGTCAAGCAACATTTCAAAAACATTGACACTGACACCATTGGAGCAATTTCGGAGTACAAGGAATGGGCGACTGACAATGTAAGGAACCCCCTTCCAACCACCAGTAGATTTGGGGCCAAATCTCCGACGGCTCCTCTGGTTACACCAGAGAAATTATTTAAGTGGTTCGCCCAACCACCACATTGTGCTTTATTCTCCCACTGCTCCTCTTCCACTCACCTATACCCACTGTTCTCTTCCACCTCATGTACGCATCCCAAACTATATACTATATCCCGAGATACTGTTTCCTAACCGAAATCTATCTAATTTGTTCTTGAAGCAAACATTTTCTTTTCCACCGTCTGCCTACCTCGGGAGCCTGTTCCATAAGTTTACTACTCGCTCACTGAAGTAGTGTTTCGTAGGAGAAATCTGTGGAGAAAGAAGCACATTACATTTTGAAACACACCGGTAATGATTTACTAACTTTCTTTTGTAAAACAGTATTCGTCTCGAGCCAAGTTTATTGTGGAGGAGCTGTTGGCTGGTCAAGGAGTGGAGACTCTGAGCAGCACTCAGCTGAGCAGCCTGGGCTATTTCATCTGTACCTTGAACCTGACCCAAATCCGCAAAATTAATGTGACATCTTTCAGGTAAAATGCCCTGAACGTGTAGTATGTTCCCTGTAGTCTGTCTGTGTGTGTGTGTCTAGACTCCAGTGTGTTTCCATACATAAGTTTAACGTGTATCTAAGCTTTGGAACTGGAGTTTAAGGAACCGACTACATTAATCTCCTGATAAGTCGTCACTCCACGGGAAAGTTCGAAGAGACGGAACAGGCTCGAAGGACTGAATGGCCTACTCCTGTTCCTATATTCCTATGAATGGGGCTCTGCGATTAGTTATCAGGATAAAAAGCTATCAGCAAAGCTTGATACATTGAGATGAAAGTTAGCATGAGGAGAGAGGAAACAGAAAAGTCTAGTATTTTGGTTTAGTGAGAACACCAGAACCAGTATTGTGGTGGGTTGAATACAAACTCTGTTGCTGATTACCAGACTGCCGCCAGTGCTAGCTTTTGCTTCACGTTCCACAGGTCTTCTGCCAGGGACATTGGGGAGAACATGTGCCCCAACGTAATCACACTTTCTGCTTTGAAGGACAAGGCAGTGGAGGCATTTATCCCTGTGAAAGAGTGGACGGGTGCTGAGCTTCAGGAGATTGGAACAATAGCAGGTAAGAGCGTTGAGAGCCATTGAGTATTCAATACCATATCCACTCAATACCCAACACCCAGTCAATACTGTTTACTGTAATAATAGATTTTGCATTTGATGTGCCGCTAACATCAAAACTGTCCCAAACAGCTGGGAGGTGAATGAGCCATAAATATGGAGGATTGTTGGCCTGGATATGTCCAGGAGAAATTCCCTTCTCTTTTAGAATACTACTATGGGATCTTTAATGTCCACCTGAATAGATTGACGGGATCTCGGTTCAACATCTCTTCTGAAAGACAGTCCTACATTTCGTCTGGCCCGCCTGCTCGCTCCATAACCTGTAAATATTATGTTACTGGGAGGGAATCGCAAAAGTATTGCTTATATGGTCCGTGGACATTTCTCAAATAGGGCATCCGGTCCTAAGCCGGCAAAAGGTTGGAAGACTGCGATGGTTTAGGATATGTGTAATTTACGCTTATTGTCAATCTCATCAACCTTTGCTTCCTTTTTATCTGCAGCCGGAGTCAGTGCCGAAGAAATGGCTGAACTTTCAACCTCGTCGGTGATGTTCCTGACACCACAGTCCATTGTCCTCATGCCTCCCAAGGTGTTATCAGTAAGTGATCAGTGACACAGTACAAAATAATTACATTTGTATGGCACCTTTCACGTCGGGATGTCCCAACACTGGTGGAAAGCTGTGCCCAGACCTGTGCTCAGCACCGAGAATCTCCCAGCACAGAGGGAAGCCATTCACCTATCATGCCTGTGTTGGCTCTCACAAGGACCTCTCCGTTTGTCTCACTGCCCGGACAATTTCCCGCACCGTGTTATATTTCTCCCTTTTTCCAATATTTGTCTAATTCCCTTTTTAAAATCCATTATGGATTCAGTTCAACCCCTAGTGTTTGATCGGGTGTTCCAATAGCATATTTCACCCACAAAATACATTTTACAGCATATCCTGTGAAGCGCTTTGAGACGTCTGAACAACGTGATGAGGTGCTACGTCAAATCCAAGGATTTATTGTTACCTCCCCTCTCTACCTGGGTTCGCGTCAAGCTCCATCACTGTTAAGCACTCCGTGTGAAGGGCGCTGTGTGAACTCAAGTTGTTATTGTTGTTTTAGGCAATGTCAGTGGAGCAAATCAAAAACTTGGGAGTACGAAACTCTGCCAGTGTGACTGCAGCCCAGAAGCGGGCGCTTTCATCGAATCAGCTGAAAGCCTTGAATGAGAATATTCAAATTAAAGGAGGTGCAGGTGAGCAGTGATTGCCCATCACCTGGTCTCCAGGTGTACGTGAGGTGCTCTTTTACATGAATGGAGTTGTCTCACATACACTGTTATTTACTTCTGATTCTTCCTTTTCTCCCTCAGTCTTCCCTTCCTCACTGTCTTCCTCAGCCCGCTCTGTGTCTCGGAGTTGTATGGCGCGTGTTTGGCTTAGGATGTATTATTTCAGGGATTTAATCATTTTGTTGTAGCATAATTTCCACCCTTCATACAAACTTGTTGCTATCCTGGCTTTTGATCCTATTGAATTTATACAATGCCGCATCTTTAGTCGCCGAGTGTTTAGCTGAGTAAATGTGTATCTGACTGAGTGAGTGTGTGACGGAGTGTTTGATGGAGTGAGTATCTGTCTCACTGAGTGAGTGAGTTGTGTGTATGTCTGACCGTGTTGAGTATCTGGCTCACAAAGTGAGTGTCTTGACTGCGTGAGTATGTAACTAAGTGCGTATTTGACTGAGTGACTGGCTGGCTGACTTATTATTGTTATTACATGTGTGGCTCGCAATGGCAAACTGCTTTTATGTTGTAAATCTCGCTCACTGTTGTTTGAGATTGCTCACCACTTCTCCTCTGTGTCCCGTGCAGGTTCTGTTCAGCCTTTGTTGGCGACTCTCTTAGCGTTAGTCCTGACTGGTGTATTTTATTAGAAGGTCCAAAGGGGGAAATCAGAAGAGACACAGATGTCACACACAGCACTGGATGACGTTTACTGGTGGGGTTGAAATGATGGTATAAAACTGTGTAAATCTATGTGTCTAGTAAGACTGAAACAGTGAACTGCAAAGTAAAAATTGCCAATAAGGCATTTTGCCACATCCCTTTAATGCCTCTAACTATTCAACTCTCTTGTCTATCTGCGGCAAAGCAGAAATGGGGAAGCTAATGGATCGTGTGTGAGACCTTGAGTTCTGTTAAATGGAAATTAATTTGGGAAAAGAGACAAGAATTGGGACCAGGAAAGTTGGTATAATTGGAGTCAATACGAATGGTGCCGGACATGTATATTTCTATGGTTCTTTTCTGTTTGCAATGTAACAAATTTACAGTAAAGTTTTTCTTGTGGGATGTTTTAATACGCTCCTCGAGTCCTCGAATATCACCAGGTGAGGTACACTGCTGACCATGTTCCTCTGCCTCAACCTTTTACACCTCGATTGGGAACTCAAACGCCTTATGGCTTTGGTCTTATCTTTTCTTGCTCTCTGCTGGCAGTACGTTTCCAGAGTGTTGCGAATCAGTTGCAAACAACAAAATCAGCTTATTTCAAATAATACCTCTTTGAATTCGTCCCCACCACACCCTCTCCTCTCCCCTCCGCCAGTTGCAGTTCCACCGGTTTGAAGTGATTAACACCAACGTGACAGCACAAGTCAGAAAGAGGTGAAATTCAATGAGAAAACAGCCCTTGTTTGAATTGTGTATGTGTGGAGGCTTGAGATTCACTGTGAGAACGTGTCTTACTGGGTGGCTTAAATAAACAAGAGGCCCGAAGAGCAATGGCACAAAACGCATTGTACAAGACATCAAAAGAGAGATTGACAGATCTCAAAGGGAAGAGAAACAATAGCGCAATAATAATCCGTGCATTTGATATATCACGTCTTTGAGATGTAGGTTTCGAGTTAACATCCTCAACAAAACTGAACAAGTATTTTAATCCGCGTGATGTCAATTCTCGTATCACTCTTTTGTGGGTGTATGGTTTAATATTGGGATATAGGAACAGGAGGAGTCCATTCAGCACATCGAGCCTTGAGATGTCCTCCCGACGTGAAAGGCGCTTTTAAAAATATAATTTTGTTGTTGTTGTTCTACCAGTTTATTAGATCTCATTGAACTGCCTCCCGGTCTTATTCTGAAATCTCTGGAGTATGACTGTAGATGACTCTCTCTGCCTTTTACATAATTTTTTATGTAAGATTTTTAAAATAAATGACTAGACAACGTAGACCACGATAAACTCCTTTATCTTCTGCGGAAACACTATTTGAGTGAGCGAGTAGTAAATGTATGGAACAGGCTCCTTGGGCGACGGTGAAAACAGAAAGTGTTGATTCCTTCAAGAACAAATGAGATAGTGTTGGGAAAAGCGGTGAGGTGAAGATTTCAACCTGGTTTTGCACCAGGTAAAACACACCCAGTAACCAACAGGGATCTGTTGAATGGAAATCTTTCCCAATCTGTACTGAGAGTTGTTTTTTTTTATCCAGTATAACAAAGAGAAGTGTGGGTTGGATCTAATTGCAGAGGAACAGCAAGGATAGAGACATGCGGGCGTGGGAAAGGACTCAAAACTGCTCCAACTCACGAGAAAGAAAGGATTTGTCACCACCTCCCACACTGTTCTCCATCTTTCCCAACTTGTGAAACTCTCCGAAAGTGTCAGGGGCCACAAGTGCGAATTGTGACATTAATCATATCACTTTGAAATCCATGTCCGATAAAACTTTGAATCAAAATTATTCTTTCACTTGATGATGCAACATCTTAAAGAAGGACGCCTTGGGATGTCCTCCTGACGTGAAAGGCACTATACAAATGTAAATTAGCGTTGTAAAATGTCACAAAGCGCTTCACGTAATTAGTTACCTTGAAGGGCAATGACTGTGTGGCAAATGCATCAACAAATCAGTGCCAATACGTAAGGAAAGAGTTAATACCAAACCGTCTGAAAGTGAGTGAAAATAAGATACTGAAAATACATCTGGTGACGACGTATCATTTGTTATTTTGTTATTGTACAAGGAACAGAACGGGATGAGCAATGTGGGTTTCCCACATTCATTTATGCACGGAAATAGGCCATTAAACTTGACAGACAATTGTGCACAGTAGTGTCCCACAAACAGTCGTGGATTGAGTAATAATAATAATAATCCTTGCATTTGATATAGCGCTTTTCACGTCAGGAAGACGTCCCAAAGCGCTTCACAGAACATACTATAAAGTGAATTGACTGTATATTTGTGGGCGAACGCGGCAGCCAATTGCGCACAGCAATGTCCCACAAACAGTCGTAGATTGAAAATGACCAATTTATTATTGTTTTTGGAGGAATCATTATCCCCGGCAAAATGATCCACCAATCGACTTACAACTGGCTTCCTACTTATTGCTAGGTAAACAGAGGTGTGAGGAACTTGCCCAATGTTTACCGTACCGGGAATAGAAACCAAGTCGCTTGCTTGTGAGGCAAGCGCTCTAACCACTGAGCTTTAGGACTCCACATTTCACCCACAAAATACACAGTCAATCCACTTTACAGTATATTCTGTGAAGCTCTCTGAGACGTCTTGAAGATGTGATAAGGTGCTATGTCAAATGCAAGGATTATTATTATTATATAGTCCTCTGATGTAGGCAAACCAGAGAGCACAAACCATCTGTAGTATCACGTTTGTGTCTGGAGATGGCGTTGCTGAAATGGAAAGTCTGTTGGTCCAACACTGCTCTCTGTTGTTGGCAAAGGTTATGAGCGCTCAATGCATCCACCTTGTTTTGGGTGGGTTCGTTCTTCACCAACTTGTTAGAGCTCTCTCCCCACCTCCTTTTTGTTTATCAGGACAATATCTACTGGGTCAGGGGAAGGGGATGAAATTGAAAGTAATTATTTGGTTTAAAGTCCAATAATTGACCATCTGGCAGTTTGAACACAACTAAATGTTTGAGCCTCACAGCATTGAGCCTATGAGTTCTAATCAAGGCGTGTTACACCTTTTGATTGGTTTGGGCTTCACAATTACCAATAATCAATCAGATATAAAAATAGAGAGTTCAATGAGATGCAAATCTGATGACACCCCCGGCTGTCTACTGCACCCCCAGGCTTTAAGACGTCTCGAAAACGTGTTAAGGCGCTATATCAAATGCAAGGATTATTATTATATTATTATTATTATTATAGGTAATCAGGATCATTGCCTAAATTCTCTGATCACCTAGTTCCTCTCATTATCATGTATCAAGGTTGTTGGTATTTGCTCTTTGTATAATCATTGAGTGGGGAATTATAATAATGGAAACAACTGTTTGACATCCAAACTGCGCGTACGCTATTTCGTCATTAAGAAAGTAAAGCTTACTCACTTACGCGTAGGGTGCCATATGAATTCAATTTGTTTTTTTGCGGGTAAGCGATCTGGTATCCCACATCCTCCTCTTTAAATATTCTGCCTTTATGTTGTTTTTAGCTCTGGAGAAGACGGGAAATTCCCTGCAGGTTTTAAACCTCTGATCAGAGAGCAGATTCTCCAATTAAGCAAACTGGGAGCCCAGGGCAAGTCTCAGTAATTATAAATTTGTGTCACGCTGAAACTTTGTCATCAGCTGATTTGCTCAAAGAGTCCTATGTATTATTGAGCACAGATTTACCTTCACAACAACAACTATTTATATTTGCCTTTTCTCCACACCCAAGAATCTCCTCCCTCCCAATACCCTCCATTCAGTGCTACAGGATTAATTCTTCTCCCGGGACAATTAATCCTTCCTTGATCCATGCGCAATTAGCAAATATAACAGCATTTCACCCACAAATGCTGTTATATTCCGTAAAACGCTTTGATAAGGCTCTATATCAAATGCAAGGATTAATCTTATTATTGTTGTTATTATTATTAAATGCACAAATCTGTTGCATCATCACAACCAGAAGAATCCCCTCTTTGTTTCACATCCTCTTCTCCTTCCTCAGCCCAACCTGACTCCCACTGCTATCAGGCTTTTATCAGGCATTTACTGCCTTCCTTTCTCTCACCCTGGGAGAATCCTTTCACTGACTTTCTTATATCCCTATATTTATTTGGTGATCTCTCTGGGCTGTGGTCAGCCTCTGTTCAGCTGTTAACCTCGCAGGGCCTCTCTCAAATCTTGTATTTTATCTGTAATATTCCGAATGTTCAGTGTTGTAACAATAATAATAACAATACTAATCCTTGAATTTGATATAGCGCCTTATCGCATCTTTGAGCACGTCCCAGAATATATTTCAAAGCGAATTGACTGTATATTTTGTGGGCGAAACGCGGCAGCCAATTGCGCACAGCAGCGTCCCACACACAGTCGTGGATTGAGTGCTCGCGCTCTCACTAGAATGCTTTTATTATTATCATCATTATTATTACTGTCATCCCATCTTTTTCCCTGTTGTGTCTACGGTGGGATGCATGGAATTCTCAGTTCAGTTGGATACTCTTAAGCACGGTGATGGGTTTCCACATGGGTCAGACATCCGGATGACCCCCCCAAAAAATCAAAGCTCAGCAATACAATATACATACATGTCAGCCTGGCTTGTGCTTTTGGCCACACTCCCACTGCCCCTATCCTCCATCCCTCCTGGTTCCAACCCCTAACTCGGGTGCCAACCCTCAACTGTCCAGCCCCTTGCTAACAACCTTTTGATGTGAAAGACACCGAGTCAATGTAATTTTGTTGTTTTGTTGTTGATTGAACTCTCGCCTGAGTCGGAAGTGTGTGGGTTATCACCACGTGTTGGAAATTTGAACTCACACAGTGTAGGGCGGGCTGCAAGTCCAATTTAGTGCTTGTGGGTGCGTTGCATTGATGGAGGTGAGCCTTACTTCTTGATTACAAAATAAACAGTCACCACACCTGACAGCAGTTACCTGAGAAGCGTTTTAATATTATAGGCACTGTATGAAACATGAGGATTATTATGATCACTTTGGCTGTGATACAGCCAGACATCAATACAGCATCTCACACTGTGTTCTGATACGAATTACATTTTGAAGGCAAAATGTGCAAAACTAATACACAAAAGAAGTGTGAATTTAGTAACCACAAGATCCTGTTTGTTTGGTTACCTGCGTTCTAACTTGTAGAAGTTAGTAACTCGCCCCACCCTACCTCTGCGACCTTCCACCAACCCGCCCGCTCCCTCCGCTCAGCCGGCTCTGACTGCTCCACGGCCTCCGACCCACCATTGGAGGGAGAGCCTTCAGCCACTCTGCCCCCAACCTCTGGAATTGCATCCCCCAATCACTCCGCCTCGCCCCCTCCTTATCCTCCTTCAAGTCCCATCTCAAGACCCTCCTCTTCGACCATGCCA